TTTTTAACAAGAAGTCAAAAATATCACTTTTTACCAAAAATGACAAAAATATTCACCAAAATTAGAGAATTGAAGATATTATCACAAAATGAACAAATCTGAGAGAGGTCCACATGTAGTACCTATATATGTAATATCAAAGCAATTGGACTTGCGGTTTTTAACAAGAAGTCGAAAATATCACTTTTCACCAAAAAATGACAAAAATATTCACCAAAATTAGAGAATTAAAGATATCATTACAAAATGAACAAATCTGAGAGAGGTCCACATGTAGTACCTATATATGTAATATCAAAGCAATTGCACTTGCGGTTTTTAACAAGAAGTCGAAAATATCAGTTTTTACCAAAAATGACAAAAATATTCACCAAAATTAGAGAATTGAAGATATCATCACGAAATGAACAAATCTGAGAGAGGTCCACATGTAGTACCTATATATGTAATATCAAAGCAATTGGACTTGCGGTTTTTAACAAGAAGTCAAAAATATCACTTTTTACCAAAAATGACAAAAATATTCACCAAAATTAGAAAATTAAAGATATCATCACGAAATAAACAAATCTGAGAGAGGTCCACATGTAGTACCTATATGTGTAGTATCAAAGCAATTGGACTTGCGGTTTTTAACAAGAAGTCGAAAATATCAGTTTTTACCAAAAATGACAAAAATATTCATCAAAATTAGAGAATTAAAGATATCAACATGAAATGAACAAACCTAAGAGAGGTCTACCCAAGGTACATATACACTAAGTATCAAAGCATTTAGGCTTGTAGTTTTCAAGAAGAAGTCGAAAAAGTAAAACATTGACACGGACGACGACGGAGACGACGGACAATCACTCATATGATAAGCTCCGCTCGACAAAGTCGACAGCGGAGCTAAAAATATCATTTTTTACCAAAAATGACAAAAATATTCACCAAAATTAGAGAATTAAAGATATCATCACAAAATGAACAAATCTGAGAGAGGTCAACATGTAGTACCTATATATGTAATATCAAAGCAATCGGACTTACAGTTTTTAACAAGAAGTCGAAAATATCACTTTTTACCAAAAATGACAAAAATATTCACCAAAATTAGAGAATTGAAGATATGATCATGAAATGAACAAATCTGAGAGAGGTCTACCCAAGGTACATATACACCAAGTATCAAAGCATTCAGGCTTGTAGTTTTCAAGAAGAAGTCGAAAAAGTAAAACATTGACACAGACGACGGACAATCACTCATATGATAAGCTCCGCTCGACAAAGTCGACAGCGAAGCTAATCAAACAGGTGCACAAAGTCACACAAGAATTTTTATTAGTCCATAATAGAATGATCAGATGACACAGGTACAGACAAATTCATGTACGGAGACTGACTACGTTGCATCCACTGAGGCAGTTGCTCACAAGAGACATGTCGTCTGTATAGAAAGTAATTCAACTCACCATTGGTTCATCTGTATTTTTTTGAAACTGTACAAGACGTACTCTCGTGATATTATCCATTGATTCCAGATCACCATTTGGCCTATTGTTGTCATCGTCTTGGCCATTTAAATAAGGACTGGTTGGTGGCGGTGTTACACGAATGGCATTCTCACCATATACTTCATGGGCTACCACATCATGACTTTGCAGCAGTGACTGGAAAAGACAAGCAACCAATCTACATGTTAACCTTTATTTAATATAAACTCTGATTTAATTGGACATGTATATCCAGCACAGGAAAAAGAAAGTATACAAGACAATAATATTCACCTGAGAATACCACATACAAATATTACAAAGCTGTACAGGGATGTTACAAGTAATACAAATACAAAATACAGTAACCAATGAAGAAGAGTCATTGTGAACTGGTGCCAGGCAATACAATGAGAATGTAATGTAATAATTCATTATTACTATATTATTATGATATGTTTGCCATGTGAAATCGCTTTTTTGAACTTCAATTACAACTGCTTGAGTTTTGTTTGAAAAACAATTGAAGTAGAGAATTTCTTTTTTCAGAAAGAAAGAAAGGGTCATGTATAGAGCCTTTGAACAAAGTGTGTGAACAAAATATGGATATAACCACAAATAAACCATCCATTATAAAACAAAATTTACATCGATGGCGAAGTTGTTGAAGATGTCAACGAATTTGTGTACCTGGGTGCAACCTTAACAACATCAGGAGGAGGAATGGGAGACATGGAAAACAGAATTTCAAAGGGGAGAAATGCATTCAGGCAGCTTAATAAAATATGGAACAGTAACAAAATCAAGAGAGCAACAAAACTCAAGTTGTACAAATCATTGGTGTTGTCAGTGCTGTTATATGGATCTGAAACCTGGAAGATGACAAAAGGCGACGAAAGAAAACTCAATACTTTTCAAACAAAGTGTTTAAGGAGGATAATGAAGATAAAATGGCAAGACCATGTTAGGAATGAAGAACTGCTAACCAGGACTGGGATGGAGAAATTGAGCACTACAGTAATGAAGAGGAGATGGAAATTTATTGGGCACACCTTAAGGGAGGAACCCACAAGCATCTGTAACACAGCATTGACATGGGCACCAGAAGGGAAAAGGAAACTGGGTAGACCCAAAACAACTTGGCGACGCACTGTAGAGAAGGAAAGAAACAAGGCTGGATGGAAGTCATGGCGGAAGCCAGAGTTGCAGCAGCTGATAGGACAGAATGGAGACGTTCGGTGGAGGCCCTATGTGCCACTTGGCATCTGGAGGATAGGTAACATAAAACAAAATGTACATGTATAAAGGGAGTAGCACATTTTCTTTGACAAAACCTAATGTTTTATTTATCCTGACTGAAACAAATGATATGCAATGCCCTGACACAGTAATACAATAACCCATATAAACTTACCATGAAATGCGGTTGTGTTAAAATATCTTGTAACTTTTGGGCATCATCATTACCATCACCGTTATGTCGGATGAAGTCTAAAACCTATAAAGAGAAAATACACTTCAATACAGACACAGAAACATTATTTCATTCAAGGGTTTTCAATAAAAAGTTTACAAATGTAATTCTTGTGTTTCTAAAATGAAGTAATAAAAAACACCCTGTATTGATTTGTGACTGTGTATGAAGTTACAAATAGAGGGTGCTTTGTCAAACTTTTTTTGAGGTCTTTACCTATTGTGACCATGTTACTTTCTGAAGCTGACATTTCAAGAAGGCACAGTTTATGAGCCTACTAAACCTAAAATATTAAATAAAGCCAAACTATCAAGAAAATATTGTCAGAGAAAATTATTAAAACTAAATGTTAAAAGCATAATATTGTATTTGTCCTATTTGTAGTGGATGCAGAAATAAGCGAGGTGTTGTCCATAGTCCAGATATACACTACATGCAATTTGGGGTTGATGTACAATTCTATAAAAGATGCAATTGAAATGTAGCAAACATGGTTATATGTTAAAACAAAATTAAATAAAAACTGATTGGAACTAATTTGATTACTTATAGCATTTGGTACAACTTACGTCTCGTGCCCTTTGTACAGCATCGCTGGGTTGGTTCTTACTGGCATAAGGTGTATTAGTCGACTTTGTATTAATCTTATCATATAACTGTCAACAAATAAATCACAAAAATATTTATTGATACTCAATCAAAAAAAAACGGAGACATAATCGGACATTTCAACTTTGCACAAATTAAGTCAGTAATTGTGAGTTATTATTTTAAGGTACTACAATATCAATCAATCAAAGAAATCCTAGAAAGAACCGCTGTGTGCTGAGGGTATTGGTGTATGAAGTAGATAGAGAATATTTAAAATTAATTAAGATTGAAGATTAGAAGCTTGTCTGTTAATATAGATCGATACTATTTAGGTAATTGATATGTATGCTTTTATCCTTAAACTAATCATGTCTGTGGATAACTCCAGACCACCTACATAAGTACCAAGTTTCATTGAAATCCAACGAGATATCAAAAAGTTGCCTAATTGATACAATTAGGTATTTCAACTCTAAAATAATCTGGTCTGTCCTAGAGAACCCATGCACCAAGTCAGAGATATCAATGGAAAAGACAAACATAACTTTCATAACAAACACGGTTTGCAAAACCCAATAAAGTTATTTGTTCAAGAATCACAGTGAAAATTTTACTGCTATAAAATGTTACATAATTTGTTGAAACAAAAGACTGGTGACCTAGTTCCAACTGTGACTGCTGTAGTAAGTGCTTCACACAACAGCTTACCACGGTCTACAGCTGCAGCTGTAGGCTTTTGCATGATTCAGTACCATGGCAACAATTTGATTATTTGCAGCAAGCTAGGGGGCTAATCAGGACGAAAAAGCTTTTCTCTAGAGTAATGTATGATCTTCTATTATTCTACATATTTGAATTATTCTACATATGACAATTAAATCAAAATGCCATAAGATTTCTTTACGATGCAATTCTATATATAAATGTTGTCAACATACATACATACATCCATCTCAAAACTACACATTGCCCAGTGCTTCACACAATAATTATTCAAAAATATATGAAAATTATTTTTTCAGAAATTATTAGTTTAAAAACAAGAGGATTCAGAGAATGAACAATGTTTTATTAGTTTTAAAAATTGCAATAATATATGCAAGTTTATTATAAAATGTTATAAGTCAGCCCCACTCTAGTAAACATGGAATTGACTTAAAGTTACCCAAAACATTGCCTCAGTGACAGAAATTCCAGTATTTTTATTTTCCAATTTTTATTTATTATTATTCTGCGTTGATTTTGATAAAAACAGATACAATTTCCCATTGCACACAGATCCTGAATAAAAATGAAGTATAGAAAAATTAAGGTATAATTTGTCAATAGTAACAAAACCTGACTTCTGGCAGAGTTCTACAAACAAAATGGGGTCTGTGAATTATTCCAACCTATTTACATACTAAATTAAAATTAGATATTGATAAAACAGTCCCAGCAGTTTTTAACAAACTACAATGATTAAATTAATATGCATGAATCATACTTCACACATCTCATGAGTAACATATTTAATTGGCATAGTGGATCTGTTGATTGTTGCACTGAATAGCTGATATACACCCTAAAAATAGTCATGAATTAACCATGAGTATTAATGTTGCAAATGTATTGAAATATGATGCATGGTTGTTAACATGCGAGTGAAATACACACATTGACGAAACTAGATTTGTGTAGCAATTCATTTACACTGGGTACCCTAAGCTGCCAATAAGTTATACAGTCAAATGCGAGTTCAATGTGTTAAATATGTTGCAAGTGTATATAGGTACTGTATTTTCACCAACAGAAATACACATAAATCAAAAATTGGATTTAATTTATTCTGGATTATTAAAATATGACGTATTATGACAATAGATACACTGCAATATATGTAAGGACTTCTAATGGAGAAAATATGGTATATCAAGAATTGTAATTACCCTTGTCATGTACAGAATAGTGAATATAATGGAAATGTGCAACTATAGGATGGAGGGGGGGGGGTCAAATATTGTAATCACTTCACATGTACCACAGTATCACATCCAGCACTACAGTGGCTGAGTGAGTCAGATATACAAAAAACTTGTCACTTAGTATGAAACATCAATAACAAGTCTGAGAATTAGAGTATCTAGCCATCATATAATTTTAATTAAAAGATATGTGTTAAAAAGTTAAAATACAGGAGTTTACTAATGTAGGTGATATATTGAATTATGGCATTATTATTGTATATGTATTAAAGACAAAACAAATTAATTTTACACCAGCATGTTATTAGACATAGGTGTGTACAAGCCTAGACCATACACACAATGCTATATAGCTCTATAGGTAAAGCCAAGTGTCGCTTACAAGCAATACCAATAGAATTAATGGCATACACAGTTAAAACAAGGTAAGTAGATAATAACCAGATGTTAAACAGGACAGGATGCTTGACTGCATCGGTGAAAATAACCATCTTCTTATTAACTAAGATGTCAAGATAGTGAAACCATAGCAAGTGAGCTTACCCAATTTGAAAAAGCGGACTCCAAACATTGATTGGTATAGAGGTTTTCATATCCTTTCATGTTGATGACTGTATAAAAAGTATGTGTATATGCTAGCTCTATGTTGCTCATTAATATGCAGGAATTCCATACATGTACTCTCTTAACACTTTTCCACATATCACTTACATATTAACAATTTATAAGAGACAGACCAATCAAACAAAATGTGTGTACATAGATGAGATTTGTTTTGTATCAGTGTCTGAAAGCTTCAAGACAGTCTGTCTAACAGCATTCCAATATTGGGCCCCTTAACTTCATGATAAATGCAGCGATGTATCTTGCCCAAGCACATTCCTTAGAGGTCATCTAAGGGGACATTCTGGTTTCTGATATAATCGTAAAAATGCAGTTATTACCAATGCCAAGTTTGATAGCCTGGTGATACAGGTATTAAATTATCAATTTTGTTACCCAAAACTGGCCAGTTCCAGAATATAGCTAATAAGAATATTAATAGTCTCAATTTAATTTTATTTATCTGTTTTTTTTCCCTTCTGTTTCCATGTGTCAAACTCCCCATGTTACATTTCAAACTTTGATGTTATAAAGTAAATTCACAATGACGTAATGATGATATAGACATACAAAACATAGAAAAACCATCAAAACTTTGCCCATATACCAAATTCAAAACATAGAAAAACATTTATTGAATCAAAATACAATGATGTAATTGATCATATTGTCTTTCTTGAATTGTAACCCCTTTCAATTATTGTTAAGTTTATACTCGCAATTTAAAAATAATTTAACTATTTTTTTCTAAATTGCTGCCACGGTTTATTGTAGTGTGGAAATTGATTTAAAGGTGCACCCCTAGTTAAGCTTAAACTAAATACATTTACTTACTAAATTCAAAATTCAACAGAAAACAACAGACAAATAAACAGTGCAAACATAAAACAAAGATGTCCCATAATTCCCTGGTACAATCCCTGGGATTGAAAGCTTCCCCTGCACATTAGAGAAATATATAAAGATTGGACATGAACAGTCATTGCATGTCAGAGGTATGGCTTAAAACAAAATGTCCTCAAAAATCAAATCAGATGAGAATGACAAAATAATGTACATAAAGAACCTATAATGTCCAATGTATGTATGTACCAAATTTGAATGAAATTCATCCATACACAACCAACATTCCCTTTAGAGATGGCAGAGTTGCTTAATTTTGAAGATTTTTTCAAAATTAAAATGGCTGCCATTGGTACATCTTGAATAGGATCAACTTACAAATACATGTATATGTATGCAACATTATGTATGATGTATATAAAGTTTGAACATGATCAGTCAGAACATGTCAGATATATGGCTCCCAAACAGTATTTATTAAAACAAAATGGCCATTTAGACTTTGATCTACAAAACAAGATGTTGTGCATTCCAGGTCCTATAATGTCTTATATTTGTACTGAGTTGGAACAAAATCAGTCTTTATACAACAGAAATCAGGTTCCATAATGGCAGAAATGCTTAATTTTTTATAAATTGTTTGCACAAAAAAGGCTGCCATTCAGCCATCTTCATTCTTCAACCAGATTGTGAAACAAATGACATGCATTTGTATCCCAAGATGCATGATGTATGTGTGAAGTTTGAATATGATCGGAATAGTCATGTCTGAGATAGAGGTGACACACACACACACAGACAGATGTCCATCTATAAGTTCTTGTTGTGTTGCTTGCAAACTAACAAAGATGAACCACCTGAAACTTATAACAAATTTATTGAGAAGAAAACAATGCACTCTTTTTTTAAATTATGCAATTCATCTTAAACTGCTGACCATGGATGAAACTTTTGAGAATCTTTTTTTGCAATTACATTTGATGTAATACAAAGTATACCAGCTAACTGAGTTGCCAAGTCATTATCACCTGCTATATATGAACAAAACATTGAGTCTGATTGACTGTTTCACAGTTTTACAAACACTGCAAATGTT